CCCCCCTCCCCCCACCCCCCCGCCGCCACTTTTTTCAGGGACCCCGTCCCGGTGTCAGTGCTGCCCCTTTACCTTGAGCTCATGGCGCTGCGCCGCCAGGAGGACGACATACGCCTGCGCATAGGCACATGGAGTCCGGGCGCTGGCAGCACGCACACAGTCGGCGCTCATGCACTCTCTGCACCAGCCCCCAGCCCCGCCGTTGCCGGCGGCTCGCCGGTAGCACTGGGGGGTGTGGGGCTGGGGCATGCCGAGGTGGGGGGCCGGCGGCAGCTGGCGTTCGAAGCGGGAGAGGAGGCAGGTCAGGGAGGGGATGATGCTTGGGCGCCCCGCAGCAGGACAGCGGACCAGTCTGATGCAGTTTCCACACAGGCTGAGGACGCGGGAGGTATTGCAGGGCGGGACACGCTAGGCCAAGGGCGGCGGCAGCAGCAGCAGCAGCAGCAGCAGCAGCAGCAACCAGGGCTCTCAGGCGACGCTCAGGCGACCGGCTCAACTTCTAGTGCGAGAGCTCCAGGGCAGGCAGGAGCCTGTGACAGTCTTGCACACTGACTCACAGCACCTGGTGACCAGGTCGTGCGATGCAGAAAACGTAATTTGTGGCGTTATCATCATGTAAAATCGTGCATGCGTTTTTCCATGCAGATCACCAGGCCCCTTGACATTATGCAAGCCGATGTGCCTGCGCTTGGCGTGATTGTAGCATTGGTGATTGAGCTCCCACGTATTGCTGTTTTGCCTTGGGCTGCTCGTGCCTTCAGGCCCAATCTTTTAGGCCTTTGGTGCCCCTGCCTGTTGCTTCCGCCCTGCTTGAAGCTGATGTTGCATAAGGTACCAAGCCAACAGCACAGGAGCGGTGTGTTGTCGCCAGCTGTGAAAAGCTGTATTGCAATTTAGTAACCTCCTTAAATTGCAAGTCTGTCGCGAAGTGTCAGTGGTGAGCAGTCAAAGAGGTTCAGGGCAGAGCTGTCCAAAAGACGAGTTGAGGCATCCGCACGCCAAATTGTGGCATTTGTCTGCCAGCATCTGAGCCGCACAAGCAGCGCAAGGTACGCCTGTAACGAAGCAGACTCGCGTGGCTGGCTGTCAATCACTGGCAAAGCGACTGCGAGCCTCCGTCAAGCAGCACAAGTCGCGCAATTGAGCTGCGCTGCACTTGTTGCATGGCATATTATGCGGTCTCAGGGCACCTTACGCCGCCTCAGGGCAACATGTCCCAGCCAGCACAGCATTGTCAGGTAGGGTAAAGTGATGCAGCATGCAGGCAGGGTCAACCGGGCACCCAGCCGCCTGGGGCCACTGCAGCATTGGAGAATCACCCGACCTATTATGCCACACACCAGCACGGCAGAGTTTGGCGTGTGAGCACTGCAGTCTCAGCCTGCGACCGGCGCCAGCTCCGCCCTGACGCCTGTTTTACACGCCATCTGCATGCAGGTTGTCACACCAGCACGCCTTCCTCCCAAGATAAAAGCGAGCAAGAGTAGCTCAATCCCAGAGGAGTGCAGATCCTCCGCATCATGCATAAGCTGCGTCAACCACGCTCGGATGCTGGCTTATGATAGGGATCATAATCAGTGAGGCAGTGAGAGCGGAGCGGATACTTGCGCTCACAGAACGTGACGTTGCTGTGCATTCAATTCTCGATGACTGTGCCCTGTGTGCCAAATAGGCAAAAGACCTGCGGCATGGTGGCACTCGTCATTGCCAATGACAAGATGCAACAGGTGCATCTAAATCTATCTACATACGGTCATATGGTCATCAGACGACTCATTTGCAACCCACAAACAAATGTGCCAAAGTTGCCATCCCCGGCATAGCATTTGGCCGTTCCGAGGCAACATGCATGTGGGTCAACCAGCATGTGGCCATGTGTACTGGGCTTTTGTGGAACCCACATCTCATGATGCTGTCAACCATAATTTCAATACGCTATAAATGCCCAGTACCTTCACAACTGCGGACATCAACACCACCAGCTCCAGCACCGTTCAGGCTCCAGCAGATCACTGGTCACCTCTTAATGATAACATCACCTTGAACTTCTAGTGCATGAATTCACCACGATCCTGCGTGCTTCCACACAACTCGCCCTCGCCGTTCCGGTATGCCCTCGACAGAGATCATCGTCAAGCTGGCCCTCGCGGGCGAGCCCACAGCCCAGGCGGGCGAGCTCACTACCGTCCAGAAGCGCTTATTTGGGCTGATTGCCAGGCTTGGTGCGGACATAGTTAACGTCTTCCACAACATACCGCAGAGCAGGGCCAATTACGAGGAGGATGCGAGAGCCCTCGTCCGCGCGTTCAACGCGATCCGGGGCGGACAGCCCGGCAATATCACCGTGGATCAGGCCAGGGCAGCAGACGCGATGGACGTGCAGGCCTTGGTGCACCACTTGGTGCATTTCGCGGACGAGCTGCAAGCGGCGCGCCACCCCAGGACAGGTGAGTGCCTCGTCTGGGTCTAACAGGGCGTTAAATCAAATAAAATCCTGTTTCAAATTGGATGCTCCTGCTTGCCACGTGCTGCTGTAGGCCGGCGCACCACTGCCGAGGCCTCCTCTGACACAGCGCTTATCATCACTGCTGCACAGCGCCGCGCAAACGTGCAGCAACACCCCATGCTGCATGCCCCCCAACGTTCCCACACCAGGAGCAGTCACTGTCTTTTCCACCACGCGGGTGAAGCGCTGGGGCCCCAGGGTGCTGGCGCTCATCGACTACGGCCTCGCGGCGTACCAGAGCAGCCAGGAGCAGGAGGTACGCGCGTGCTGGGCTGCTGATTCCGTGCGTGTGGCCCCTGGCTGTGCCGCTGACGTGGGTTTGCACACTTCACACGTTACTATCTTTTGGCCAACGTGGGCTAAGAGCGGTTATGAGCGTGTAGTGAGGTGCATTCGGCCGCCTGTATCAATGTGTGCGCTTGACAAATTGACGTCTGAGGTAGCTACCTTGAAATAGCACTTTTCAAGACCAGCATCGCCCTGACTTTGCTGGCACGCATGCAGTTGCGTACCTGCACATATTCAGCGTTTTGGGGCCACCTTCATCTGTTCTGAACCCATCGCTTATCCTGGACATCAGCTGAGCAAATGCGATCCCGACCAGCAGCCCCGGCCTGCCGGCCCCCCACCTCGCAGGTGTTTTCCGAGAATGTCCTACTACGCATGCTGAGCCGCTTCGAAGCCCTAGACATGGCAGCGCCGGGGGAGCTGCAGAACGCGGCGGCGCCCGGCGCCAGCCAGGAGGCGCGCGACGAGGCGCTGGTAGCGCTCAGGGCACTCACTGAGAGGGAGCTCATGGACGACACCGACTGCTTGCTGACTCAGCGAGCGATGCAGTATCTGGTACGCCATGCGTCGCTGCATAAAGCGGGTGGACCTTCCCTTGCTCCATTCACCAGCCTGAGTGTCTCCTAACCTTTCAAGTGTCACCTGAAAAGTTGGGTCGAGTCAGCACGCCCAGTGGGCGTGCTGACTCGCCCGCCCTCCAAATTTTCTTGCAGCCGCCTCACCACCACCTACGCACCTTGCTTGCCACTGCATGCAGCTGTGACATTTCAGCATCCTGGCCGCACATGCTGTGAGGCACAGCATGCCCGATGACTGCGGCGGGTGTGGTGCCTTTGTTGCCTTGAAGGGCCCGCGCTGTATCAATGCGCATGCTACAAGACGTTTGGCTTGCGCAGCAACCTCAAGTGGATCATCGCTGTACCCCTTCATTGGCTCCTTGCCGCCCTAATCAGCGTGCCGATGTGTGCCTGCGGGGCTATCTTTCTCAAGAAATCCTCACTATTGTCTGCACGTATGGTGTCATGCGTGCACGCACAAGTTCTACAGCAAGTCACTTCGCCATCGATGATTCCAGATTCAATGCCAATTCCCACTCTCAAAGCATGACAGCGCAGGAACATATTCCATCCTAGCACGTTTGTGCACACATGTTGCAGGCAGGATCGAGTGGAACCAGCGTGCTCCAGCATCACTACAGCTGAGCATGACGATGTAACATAGAGAGTGGTCAAACATAGCGGCGAGGTGCACACGTGAGCAGAAGAGCGTGGCATGCATGATGCCGGACCGCCACCAGGTCAATTGGCATGATTGCAACTGCCCTGATGGGCAGATTTGCTTGCAATATCATGCGTCATTGTCAGCAAGTAAAGCGTGCACACACCACGGAATCAAGGTAAGAGGAGGGTCTGCCAAACCCCCAGATGGCACAGCATAACATCGCTTGCGCAGCATTTAGCAGCCCAGCGCTCAGGTCAAAAGTGCCATGGCCCTCTGCATGGATTCCTGCATGGCATCGCCTTGTGTCTGCAGCCACGTCTCTGTGAGGCCCAGCGTGGCCCCAACCAGCTGCAGCAGGTCGCTTTGCAAGACTTCCAGCTGCATTGCTGACATCTGGGCTTGCATGCTGCTTGTGAAATTGACATTCGCATCGTTTCCCATGTCTTGACAGGCTGTGGTGAGGATCTGGACTGCTGAGAGCGCCAGGCTGACGCCAAGGGGCAGCCCTGATTTGACGGCCTGCTGCTGCTGCTGCTGCTGCTGCTGCTGCTGCTGCTGCTGCTGCTCTGCAGTAGCTTCCGCCACCACGGCCCCGACGCAGCTGCCCGAGCTGTGGCCTGCAGCATCGGCGCCGTATGCCGTGTCGAGTGCTGCCGAAGCCAGGAAGGGGGAGGCCAGGAGCTGCGCGGCCGACAAGCGCTCTGTGGGATTGCCGCGCAGACAGCAGCACACAAACTCCTCAAACAAGGCGTCCAGCGGAGCGCCTGTCAGCTGCATCGCAACTTCCTGTAGCTTCGCACGATCCGGCCCGGCCGCGCCCGGGGTCATGACGGTTGACAGCAGCTCTGTTTGCCGCACCCCAAACGCCAGGCTGAGGGCCATGGCGCCAATCCCCCAAACATCGTCCTGGGGCGTTGCACTGCCACACACATTGTCCAAAGCGCGCTCCGGGCTGTGGTAGGAGAACTGCGCGCTGCCAGCCAGGCTGCCCGTATGGAAAGGCACCGCGAAGCTGTCCATGTCGCCCGCTGCTGCGTGCTCCTGAGGAAGAGTCATTTTGGTGATGGCCAAGGGGGCGGCAGCGGTGAGCTAAGGGCAGCAGCCACTGTAACGTATGGTCCTGGTTAATTACGTGTTGATTTTGGCTTGTTGGCGCAACGCGGGCACATGCACTGTTTGTCTTGGCCTGAGCAACACGCTTTTGTGCTGCTCATCCCTTGCGTGGCTTACCGACTCAGCAGGGCCAGCCAGCACTAACCAGTTGTCCGCTGACGTAGGGAGGCAGAGGCAACAGGGAGAAGGCAGAAACAATGTCGGCCACAGTCAGAAAACATCCGTACAATCAGAATCTCACTCATGTTTGCCGTCATTTCACACGATCGCCACCCAGCCACCCTGCCGCTGCAGTGCACACTTAAAACGCGCCCCGCCCATCGGCGTCCCACACCCACCTTTGACATCCCCTTGGGCCATGTCCGCCGCGTGCAGGTCATCGACAGCCACCACCACCTGCCGCAGCCAGCGCGCCAGCTCCGTGTCAGTCGGCAGCTTGACGCTGCGCCAGAGTAGAGCTTTGCGTGCGCCCAGCGCCCAGCCCGCCCCGGCACCCTTGCTGCCTCCCTGCTCGCCGCCGCCACCACAGCCGCCGTCCCCGCCGTCACCGCCGGCCTGCGGCAGCTGCCCCACGTGGACGTCCACCAGGACAGGCAGCGTCGGGCCCAGCAGCCGCTGAGTCAGCGTCGCGCGCGCCCGCGGCATGACGAGCTGCAGCACCGTGTCGGGGCCGGTGCCGACGGCGAGCAGCGGCACGCATCCCTCGAGCAGGTTGAAGAAGGCCGCGCCGCGCATCATGCGCCCTGCAGTGTCCTCCGTCGCCGCCGCGTACCCCCCGCCCTTCGATGACTGCAGGCCTGCTGACGCGTGGACGGCCTTGAGGAAGCCGCGGAACGCAGGGCTAGCCCTGCGTTCCCCCCGTCAGCGCTGAGCGACAGCCCGCCGTCGGGGCCCGCCGCAAGGCGCAGCAGCATGTGCGGGGTGGCGCCAATTGCGCCGCGCTCGCTGGCGGGCCATGTCTTCTCACTGATGAGCGCCAGGCCGGCCCAGCGGCCATTGCCTGCAGGAGGAGGGCCATAGAATCATGTGGTGTTTTGAGGCACGGATAGCCGATTGAATCATGACACTGTGCCCTGATTCGTTTTGTCACACTTGGATTGCAACCACTGTAATCTGCCGTGTGTGTTGATCTCCTGCCGACACCAGCCCCCAAAAAGTAAACAAGCCTTCAGGCGACATTTTGAGCAAACTGCAAACGTACCTGGCCCAAAGAGCGGCAGCAGCCTGTTGCCGCCAGGCGCTCCCAGCAGCTGCTGCAGGCGCGCCGCTGCATCTGTGTGGAGGCCCTCCACCACTGCCATTTGCAGAGACGGCGTGAGGAAAGGCAGGCGTAAGATTGCAGCGACTAAATGTGAGCTGCAAGTGGTGCGCCAGAAATGAGTCGAAGTGCTCAATGGCGGGCCATGCAGCAAAGCAGGCCAAGACACTCTAGCGAGGGATTCCAGCCGTGACATCGCCGGCAGCTCCGCCCCCCCCCCAGCCCCCACAGCCCCACACCTGCAGCGTCGCTAGAGCAGTACGCGTGCAGCGTGAAGTACGCTGACGAGGCGGCCCGCAGCACGCCGAGCGCCGCCGGCGACAGCTCCCCGCCCGCCCACACCGTCTCCTCCGCCGCGCCCGGCAGCGCGGCCTCGCAGCGGCTCAGCACGTCGCTCGACAGGAGCGCCGCCTTGGCCTGGAGCTCAGCAGAGACGGGCAGGTCGAGCCCCATGAGCTGCCTGTTGAGCTCCCTCAGGAGACCTGCGGCCTCTGACAGGCGGTGGCTTGGTGGTTCGGGCGCCGGGGCCCCCGCGACGGCTGCTGGCGGGCTCCGCGCCAGGCACGGCAGCTTGTGACAGCCTGCGGCCAAATGGTTCACATGTGGCGCAGAAAGCTTAGGCCACGCTTGTGGCTGCGCAAGGACGCATTCGCGCATGCTCGCACAAGCATGTGCCCCCTCCCACGCGCACGCGCGCACACACACACACTCACACACACACACACACACACACACACACAC